GTGAAATTTTATTGAAGAAGTTTATAATTTTACCTGTTTTCTTACTTGAAGCTTAAATTTAGATAAAATCATTATTTTGGAGAACAAATTTTTGCAAATGTTTTTTTTTTTTTCTTTTTTAAAATTTCCAGGATTTTTTCTTTTATCTTTCTAGGTGCAGTTTGTAGAGGACAGGAAGATCATGAATGTCAACAAAAAAGATTTTTTCCTCCATGTGTTTGATGAGCTTATGGCTCCTGAATCTCAAATGTTTATGTACAACGAGAGTCAGACTCTGGCTTGGTTCCCACCCAAGGTAAGACCTGCATCACCTTTAAGCACAAGGCTTATTAGTAGGTAGGTTTAAAGACTGACCTTGTGTGTATACACCCGAGGATATAAATACAACATACACACAGCACAGCAGACAGACTTATGAATTGTGTTGGATTTCAGCTTTCCCATATTCTTGTTTTTTTTTTTTTAAAAAAAAAACCTACAGCCTCAAGTGGAGGAAAGGAAGTACTTCCTGTTTGGCGTCCTGTGTGGCCTGGCTCTTTACAACCACAACATCATTCACCTGCCGTTCCCGCTGGCGCTCTTTAAGAAGCTGCTCAGAGTCAAAACGTCCCTGGACGACATGAAGGAGTTTGATCCTGTCCTGGCAGAGTAAGAAACATTTTTAAAATCCCTGGCTGTGCAGATAAAAAGGCACATTTTCTTTTAAGAGAAAAGAATCACAAGTATGACTTTTCTTCATATTTGGCATGGTTCAATTCAGACATTATTAGTGGTGAATGCAGCTTCATTAGTAAAGTTTGAAATTTGCTTTTCTAAGTCAGAATAAGTACAGTATGAAAAAAATATTAAAAAAAGAGTAACATGTTTCCAGACCATCCTGTATTTTGTTGACTAAGAAATCTAAAAATAGAAAATTCAGAATAATAAAGTAATTGCTTTTCTTGAATCATTTACAATGTTTTACAGTCATGTTTTACAGTCAGTCTATCTTGCCCACAGATAAAAACCTTTTCAGACACTTTGGATTAGAGATTTAGACTGGACCTGCATATTGCATACAAATCACTGAAATTTCTATTTCTCTGGACTAAAGCACATGGAAAATATGTATAAACATGTACAAATGGTGCTAAATTAAAATGATACTCTTGACCAAGATCCTGAACTGAAGGCCAGCCTCAGTATTGAGGTGCTTCGTGATTTACAGAAATCATCAGATAATGAAAACTAAACTTTGTTTTTATCAAAAGTTCAGAAAAAACGTGAAATTTTATAATGGAAAACGAACAACTTTCCTCTCCGTTGTTTGTGTGTTAAGGTCATTGAGGTGCATGTTGGAGGACTACACCCCTGATGACGTCGAAGCCCTGGAGACGACTTTCACTGTAGGTTTTGTAAACATACGCTGAGTTGCATCCAGCTGGGTTGCAAAGATGGATATTTAAAAAATATGTGTGCAAGTTCCTAAACCTTTTTATCCGTGATGACAAAACAGGTCTCCTGGGGTGGTGGGAAAGCTGAACTTGATCCAAACGAACCCGGAAAACTTGTCACTGGATCTAATAGGTTTGTTTTAATTTGCATCTCGTATTTATGAGAAAATCTGTTGCTGCAGCCATCAGTGGAAAGGTTCCTGACTCCAGTTAAGATGAACAATTGTGCAAGAACCTTCAGACTTGTAATAATCTACCAGTCAGTGTCACGATTCATTAGGTGCTGCTTGTAATATTCTTTATGCCTACAGGAAAGAATTTGTCGCTGGCTTTGTCAACCATGCCTTTAACAAATCAGTGGAGGGAGTGTTCAAACTCTTCAAGGAAGGTTTTTTCAAAGTGTGCAACATGGATGTCGTGGAGTTCTTCCAGCCTGAGGAACTACAGTCGGTCATGGTGGGCCATGAAAACTACGACTGGGAAGTCTTCAAGGAGGTAGCCACACATCTCCTGGTTTTAATGTTTTAGTTTCATTAGCGTGCATGTTTTGTTATTTGTTCTAAGGTAATGTAAATGAAATCAAACTCTAAAGATCAGTGATGTAGGTTGAGTTGTAAAATCAAGTTGAAATTATGTATTCACGTGTGTTATTTTTAAATTCACAGAACACAGTTTATGAAGGAGGCTATCATGCTGATCATCCAACCATCATCACCTTTTGGAGGGTGTTTGAAGATTTCTCAGCAGAAGAGAAGAAAAAGTTCCTCCGTATGTTTTCCACTGTTCATTTTGGATCAGCTTTAGACCTACCCATGGTTCTGTTTCATCCATTTTGTTTTTGTTTGTGGCCAGTGTTCCTCACAGGCTGTGACAGAGTCCCCTTCTTGGGAATGGAGTGCATCAAGATGAGAGTGGCCATGTTGGCAGATGCCACAGAGAGACACTTGCCTGAATCCCTCACCTGCCACACCTTGCTGCTTCTGCCCAACTACAGGCGATACCCGGTGGAGAGGACAATGGAGACCAAGCTCCTTCGGGCCATTAATCACAACAGAGGCTTCTGGAAGAACTAGAAATCTTTCTTCAAACACACCTTTTTGGTTACTAGGTTTTCCACAGTGTGCACCATCTAAAGATTCATTAACCTTCTGAAGACATTACAGCAATATTATCTGATATACACACCTGTAGTAGTTGTCATTTACTGGGTTTTCTTGTGGGATTTCAAATGTTTCCAGGCTCAGTTCTTTAGGGTTTATTTAGAAATGTAAAGTATACTTATTTATCTGTTAATGATGGAAAGGAAATGGGACACTGGAAGAAAAGGATGATGAAACAAAGTGGCTAGACACAAGAAAGCAAAGAATAGGACAGAGGGACAAAGAGCTAATGATTTCAGTTTACAAAATGACAGGATGGTTGGAAAGGAGGGAAAAGTCTGGAAATATAAATATTTTCCATACTTATCCAGATATAAGAAACACAGAAGGAAGGAATAAATTCCAGGCTGTGTAGAAATCATGCTGACGTACCGTTTCTCAATAACTCTGTAATTATTAGATTACGGCTTAGCTCAAGAGCCCACTTTAAGCACAAGTAAGTCATGCCACAATAAGCTTTAAACATGTTCAGAATGTTTCCAAATAAAACCCATTTTTTTTTAACTCCAAAAGAACAAAAGAGATCAGCTTCAACACATAAATCTGAGGGGATAGTCATATTTAATCCACATTTAAATCCTGGAGCTCAGACAATTCGCTGGACTTGCATTTGAGACTATCCATATTTGTTTGCATTATTTCTCTTGTACATAATTGAATACTCTGCTTAAAAAGAGAGCAATAGTAGTTATTTCTGCATCATAAGAGTAAATAAACATTCCACATCAGCAATGTCTTACAGTTCTTTATTTTGACAAAAATTATTAAATAAACCAAGAACAGTGATTAAAAAAAAAAAATTGTACATCTATGTCCAACATGGTGGGGTGTAATTTCAGATTTGTTTCACAGGTCTGGGACAGCTATTTGTCTTTTTGCAAGAATTGAGTACATTTGGGGGGCATTTTCTTGTGCAAATGTAGCTACAAACAGTTTAAAAAAACAACAAAAGCAAATTTTGACATCACTTTCAGTGTTCAGTCTCTTCATTTGTATCTTTCCTTCTTCCAGTAAAACTTTGACCTTCAGTCAGCATCATAGCGATAAAATATTCCATCCTTCTAGACAAAATGCTTCATATTTAAATAAGTGCTCATTAAAAATGTCATCAGTAGGACCGAAGGAGCTCATTTGAAGTTTCATGTCAATGTGAATTGCACCCTGGCTGGAAATGAAACTTGATATTGGAAACATAAAACAAAAAATGTCTGATATTAAATTACATTTATTCAGCAGTAAACTTCTACAGTCTACCTTTGTATTTTTTTGCATCTAACATTGTTCCTTCCGGCAGATCTCTGTCCAAGACGTCCGCACACGTTACCAAACACAATCTAAAGGGTTAAACAGTTGAAGCTGCATTCGTCACATAAACTTTTTCTCCACAGGATCTGACATATCTCATTAAACAAGCGACAGAAAAAGTTACACAAAACATTTAGGCAAAGCTGGCCGATCAGGGAGCAACCTGGATTAGAGTTTGTTCGTAGTATCAGGTGGAGGGGTAAATGTGAGGCTAATGTGCTTTCTTTGTGCAGTCTTTAATAAAACGCCTGCGACGACCAGACGAAAATCTGCAACGTAGCGACTTAATCAATTCACAGACGTACATAAATATTCATAAAAAAAATATATAGTTAACATGCAATTATGCAGTAAAGACGCAGAGCAGTTAAAGCCACATGTTCTTGCTACAAAATCTGAAGACATTAAATGTAAAAAAAAAAAAGAAAAAAGGCAAAACTAACAACGTGGCTGTGCTCAGAGGTGGAGCGTTTTGCCCGGTGACTTTAGCGATGTGGTCCTTTGAGGAGAGTTTGTGTTTCTGAGATGATGCCATGCAGACAGCAGAGTTCTTCTCCTGCAAAAGTGAGAGCTGAAGCTTCTATCTGACAAGGTGGTAGGTGAGCCAGTACATGAAGACGGGCTGCGCCGCTGCGATGGACATGGTGAGGTACATCCTCAGTTGGTTCCTGGCTCCTCTCACCAGCTTCCCTTCAGCCGCCGCCTCGGATAAGAGCTTCAGACGCAGAGTGCGGATCTGCTCGGAAACACGCGAAAACTTTGCTGAAGGAACGAGGCGAGAAATGTTTCTACTCCCAAGTGAACCGATTGGCAAGTACTGTAATTTCAAAACTGTAACTCCCCTTGTGCTCTTGGGTTAGAAAGCAGGGAAAGATTTAAGGCACTCTAACCAGTCCGCCTGAGTAATAGCTCAACAAAAACAATCAGTCCTGACTGAGATGCCTTGGCATGACTGAAACAAGACTGTTCATGCTCAGAAACTCTCCAATGTGGCTGAATGAAAACGATTTCTCAAAGACAAGTGGGTGAAATTTTCTCCACAGCAGCGTAAACGAGACATCGGCCATTTTTACACTTAAAGGCAGCTATTATAAACCAGAGGTAGAGCAAGAGCAACTTTAAGGAGCTTTTCTATTTTCACATAAAGTCAGACTGATGTAGATAGCTTTTTATCTTTATGTATTTGTCTAATATAGAAACTAGTTTCACAATCTGAAACATTTAGGTTGTGACAAACAGGACAAATCTTTAAGCAGTTAAAAAAAACAAAACAATAAAGCTGGTAATAATGGGGGTTCAAAATAAATCTAGAGCAGGATAAAAAAAAAAAAAAAAAAGAAACAATCCTGCAACATTTGCAGTCTGTAACAACATTTGCCATGAACATGCTAGGTATAATGTCTGAACTGCGTCTGGGACGACCTGGAGTATGAGGCAGAGGTACAAGAACCGGAAGAGCAAAAAAAAAAAATTTACAGATTAAAATCATTTAAAAATGCTTCAGACTCACCATGAGGACAAAGATGGCGGCACAACACCACAGCAGGGAGAGATAATATGCTAGCTTTCCAAACAGAAGACCAGCGACGACGCCTAAAATCATTCTGGAAAAGCAGACCATCTGGTGGTTAACTAAAGATACTGCAGAAGAAATAATGTTGACAGAAATATGCACCAGCACATACCCGACATATTTGTATCCTGAAAAGGCTAAAAGGTCTATGGTGGTGAGGTCTGTGTTGACGGTGACGAGGTAGAGTGAAAGCAGGACGGCCAGGACCTCCATGATCAACCACACCAGCGCCGAGCTGGCCTGAACTCCCAGAAGCTCTGGGGAAAACCTGAGGAGCAAAGGACACATAGTCACAGTGATATCTTCAGTCAACCTTTATCAGCTCATTACAATAAGTCATATTTGTGGTTTTAGCTACTAAAAAAGACTATTATTCAAAAAAAAAATCAATCGGCTGTAGGTTGCTATTGAGATCAGTTGTATTGTCAAAGTCTCTTAATGGAAAACCTCCCCCCACCCCACCCACCAGATGCGAGAATCATTTAACTCATTGTTGGACACAACAATCAGCAGCTGCAAACTGCAGTTTGGACACAAGTAAGGCTTCCGTACCTGTTCTGTGTGCCAAGAGCCAGACCAGCCACCAGGATGTATGTGATGAAGCCCATAGTAGGAATGTAAAGGTCAGGAGCGTTGACGTCAAAGCGTGGGGCAACGGGGATGTCCTGCTGATAACTCACCTCCCAGTTCTGCAGGAGAAAACAAAATTCACACAGTTATCAGGTCCGTTCTAATTTGCCTCCAGTGTTTTATGGCTTAGGTTAAGTCGTTTGTAACAACAGCTAGGATTGTTAAGCAAACTTTAAATACAAAAGAAAGATGTTCTGGTTTCTGTAAGTCATGCTAAAACGACATGGAACATGGAACGCCATGCATTTATAAAAATAAGTTTTTACCCCCAATCTTGATTTAAATCATTTATTTCTAACTACACATGTCCATAAATTACAATTCAATAACTGCCTAGAAAGCTCGTCTTAGTAGAAAACACGAGCTTACCTCATGCATGTAAGGAAAAACTAAAATTCCAAGCTTCTTTCCGACGTACACCGTGTCAACAGCAAAGTAGTATTTCAGCTTGGATACGGGAATAAACCTGTCCAGCTGAAACACACAAAGACAAAGAAGTGCACACTTTATTTAATGTCCCTGCAGTACATTTCATTAGAGCCATGCTGATCAGCTACATCTGTAGCCAGTCTTACGTTTTTGTCCACCATTTCCCTCCCCTGGGATGCCAGTGAGCTGCCGTAAGCCATGGCCAGGTTGGACATGGGGTCCGACAGGAGGGACTGGCCAGGAAGTCCTCCTGCTGCTTGAGGGCCAGCCTGCTGATTTCTGTCAATACATTAATGAAATATGAGAAGAGCCAGAAACCAAAATCCAATTTTATCACTTTAGTTGCCGATTCAACAACTGATTCAGTGAAATATAAGTCAATCCAAGGACAGATCCCACCTGTAGACTCCTTGAGCCCCAGGCCCTGTCGCACTTGTGTCGTCAAACAGCTGGCTGCCATCTGACCCGTCCATTGAGCTGTTCCTCAAACGCATATTATGCTCTGTGGGAGAATATATATATGGTAAACAGGGATTAATTAAATTGCTTAATTTGGAGTTAAGCAGAATCAGCAACTCAAGCAACAGTCAGACAAGACGTTTAAAATAACCCCAGCATGCACTTCTTCCAATTGCTTATAGGCTCTAAAGCACGGATGTTAAACTCCCGTCATTGCTGGCTGGTGTCCTGTAATTTTTATTTATTTATTTTTATCCATCCCTCCCTTAACATATCCCTGAGGACTACTGGTGTACAAACTCTACTTGCTGATAGCATACTGGCCATTTGGGCTCAACTGTACAAATTGAAGAGAAGTGAATCCAGCATGGAGACAAGACACTAATTGGTTACAAGTCTGCAAAAGATGAGTAATGTAGGGTTGACAAAAGCAGCTTTAGATTAAGTTGAGGGGGGGCGGGGGGTCCTTTTTAATAAAAAATATTGGCTGATGAACTAAACTCAGTAAGGACGATAGTATTTGTTCAATAAAAACAACCTTGAATATTGAGACAACATATCCTTGTATATCCTTGGTACATTTAGCCAGCAGCTGAATAGGCTTTAAACACCTTTAATTCCCACAACTGATGTGTTTTTACAAACTAAGGCGCCTCAGATCACAAACAGTGGAAGAGACATTCAGTGAATAATGAAATAATTAAGTCAGAGATGAGTTTAGCTCAATTTCTAACCACAGTACTTAAAACTGAGAAATCCCCCGATATTGTGCAACCACAGTGCATGTAGTGAATTACTTTGTTTACATGCGCTACAGTACTGTTTGTCAACCTTTACAACTTTGTGCTACTGAACAAAATAGCAAGGTTTAATCAAGCACAAGAGTTGTTTTGACCAGATCCCAAACAGATTGAGAATTGGCTTGAGAACTTTGAGTTTAAGTAATTTGGCGCACATCTGTAGTCATTGCTCACTGTCAGAAATAATGTTATCTCACACTTATAACAAAGCGACAACAATCACCATCACAACAATGTGTACATCTCTGAAGTGACGCTAGCTGGTTTAACCGGTTTTAAAATAAATTAGCTGGTTAGTAGGGTTGACAAAGATGACAAATTGTTAGTGAAGCCGTAGAAAACAAAACGATTATAAAAATTACTAAGAATAGGCATTTTACGAGTTGTCTGCGTATAAGTTCAACTTATTGTTAGCTTCAACCCGGTACAACACAGAGCTAGGTGTAGAAAGCTAGCAGCAGTCTCCAGTGGGCATGCTAGTCTACTTCGCTATTCGAGTCGAAATCACGTACGTAACTTACGCTGTCTGAACCCACTCTGTGCGGCGGTATACTCCATCTGATTAGACCCTACAGGAACAGCAGCTGTCAAAAATATCTAACTGGAATCAGATGGAGTTAAGACAAGTCAGCGAGCTGCAGGGGGAAGTGATTCATAACATTTACACGGAAGTGAACGTTAGGTATTCTAAGAGCCGACTCTTCTTCTTCTTTTAGGTTTTTTTTGGCGGTTGGCAAACAACTTATAGGTGCATTACCGCCACCTTCTAGACTGGAGTATAGATTAGATGTCCTATCACTATAATCTTCCCATAAAACCTGATTTCCTAAGATAACTAAAAATGCTGTTAAATATTACATCTTCAGAGGACCTTTGCAGCAGATTTTTGATATCTAAAAGAGCCGACTCTAATCGTCGAGTCAGTTGAAATAAAAAAAAAAAAAATACCGCCATCTAGTATTCAAAAGGGTAAACTTCAACTCTGTCTGAGGTCAGAGCCTGTTTTGGGCAATTTGCCCCCCCAAAAGTAGCATCTTTTAGCAACAATTTCGAGTACAATGTATTTTCAAATATAAATAAATGTATATGGAATTAGAGAAAGTTTGCCTGTCAGGACTCTTTTCTTTTCCAGTCACCCTATAGTTTATGTGTTGTTTTTTTTGTTTGTTTGGGTTTTTTTTGCCCTGTAAAAAATTGGAAGTGTTACTTAACAGCTGGTAAAAACCATGTTCAGAAGTAATGAGGAGATGTAAGGGAGGAGATTCCCTCCTTAATGCAGGGCAAATCATGGCGAGAAAAGGTGTCTCCCTACATCATAAGCTTCCTAATGGTTTAGGCTGGTAATGGTTTTTACCAGCCTAAACTTTAAGAGTTTAGGATTATTTTTGTCACGCACAGATAATCAAAGCTGTCAAGATATCATCATTTGACTCATGTGATACTGTATAAAGCTAATGGATAAGAAGTAATATGATTACAAACAAGGCAGACAGGGAACTGGAATACTTCTTGTTTTATTGTATCCTTAAGGCACTGATCAAATGATTAAAGCAACCGAGCTAAATTAGTCATTTAGGGACATGCACTGATGATGTTGGACATCCTGCTCAAGCTTATAACGTTGGCTTATTGATTAATTATTATAATGACTGATACACTATGGTTACATGAGATTATCATGTAGCCAGAGTGCAGAACTCTGAGATTCATGGTGGCTTAATGCTATTCAATTCAGTTCAGTTCAATGAGGTGAGCAGTGAGGGTAAATAATAAAACAGTGTAATAACCAAAGAATTATTCTACTTCTCTTCCCATCCCAAGGACTAGTTCCATATAGGTTTTCTGCAGTCCAAAAATAGGTTTTATTATTGAAGAGAAGAAGATTATATGCCTCTGTAGGCAAACCACAAACATAGCCATCTTAAAGCTGTGGGGATCTTACCGAACTGTGTTGCTATGTAAAATATTTAATAGTTACAGAAAAGAGAGAACTTTCAACAATAAAAAAAAATATATTCATCAGTCATTTTACAGGGCAACAGATGACAGCTTTACATGTTCAATTAGGAAAACACTAGGGAGTGATGAACTAAAACTTCTGATTGTGATTCTTAAAGGTGCTGAAAATATTATTTTGTGCTGCTGTCTACATTTTGGTTAGCTCTGAAATGTGTGGCGTGTCATAGATATTGAGAACGTAAAGAAAACACAAATCCTTCAGAAATGTGAGAATTCCAAACTTTTCAATGAGATTGATGGGGAGAGAGAGAGAATTTGCAGCAGCTGACCTGTCATTCTGCATCATGCGTCACTGATTTATATTATATCTCTAAAAATAAAGGGCTTAGGTTTTAAATCAGAGGAACATATTTTTCCTGTAACTTTTGCCTGTATGATTACTTGGACCTACCATGAAATACGCTATGGACTAAATAATCAACAATTCACATCAAAAACACAGCACTACAGATAAATAGTTCATTAAAGACTGATAAAACACATGAAGTTTGTGGCTGTAGCGTGACGAAAATGTGGAAAAGGTCAAGGGAAATAATTATTTTTTCAAATGAAGATAAATAATACATCGGGTCTGCAATGAGGATTATGAGATCAAACATAGTGGTAAGACTGCGAAAGGAGTTGTGGGAGTGCAAAGCGCACTTTCATGTCAAAACTACCAGCATTAATAATTTTGTACAGTTTGCATATCATGCTACACATGAAACATCCCTACCTCCCCAAACCTCCACCCCTCAGAGAGAGATAGTGAAAGATATGCTGAGTAAAGAAACTCTAGAAGCATGAAAAAAAAAATCATGTCATTGTGAATCACAACCACAACAACATTCTCCACCACACAGAGGTGCAGCTTTGCAGACCATCATCATCATTATCATCATCATCATGATCATCATCATCATCATCCACTTCTTTGACTTTCTGTTTTGCCAGCACTTAATTTTTTTGTGGCCGAAACTATAATTTGTTTGCACTGAGGTTGGAAATTGTTGAATAATGGAGCCATCATTGATGCCAGTGCAGGTAAGATATAAAAAAAAATGCTAAAGAAGAAATTTAGAAATTTCAGAAAATGCTTTGTTTCAGTATTGGTTCTGCCACTATTTACTGCATTTTCCTTTGGCTATGTTGATGTTTTTTTGGGGGTCCGACACTCTGGTCCAGCGGAGCATTCAGAGACTCAGACGTGTCGAAGTAAACAAACTGAAATCATGACGTAATGTCAAAAAGCTAAAGTATTTTTTGACATTATTATGTGAACAAATTCTTAAACATAATCCTTCATAGATTTAAATAGGAGGATATAATTGTCATATCACTACAATATAGAATCCTAAATAAAGAAGCACAAGAGCTGAAAGATTATAAACCTTTATTTAAGTATCTAATGTAGAACTGCTTTGCTTCACTAGCCAGCTTTCCTTTTCAGAGACATCGGATCAGTTCTCAGTATCAGTCTGCAGAAACAGTACCACAATGAATACATTTATTTGTTAAAGTAACTGGATCTTCTTGTCAGAAACCAGTGATATAATTGTAAGTGGCTTGAAAAAGACTTTAACAACAGAATGTGTCATGAAGAGCAAAAAAGACAGTCAAGGGAGAATGTGTGTTTTAGTCCTGCTGGGGGAAATGAGGTAAAAGAATAAGAGTTTAGTAATGAGTAAGATGGAGAAGGTGATGACATGATGTGTTACTGGGGACATCTAGTGGCGGTGATGAGAAACACTTCCAAATCAAGACTTAAATGCGCAACAACGTAACAGAATAAAACAAAAATGAATAGTTTAACAAAGCAGATAAAATCTTATTTATCATAATATAAATATCTAAACACATCCTAACCATTCAAAAGTGTCTCTTTTGAATGTTTAATATCAGTTTTCATTAAAACCTAGAACATAGCAGTACCGAACACTAAATCATAGTTTTAAACCTAATCCAGCTCCTTGTAGGTATGTATTTTTTTTGTCTTTTTGGACTAAAGCAAATTGATTTTAAAAGGCTTTTTTAAACCAGACTACTGACGACATCTGCCAGGGAACAGAAGTGTTTTTTATCATCGACACCCTGCTGTCTGGGTAATTTGCCTGCTTGTGTGTGAAATTACAGCATCTGCTTGTTTACACTGTGAAAAATAAAAGAAAATGTTCTGACAGGGTCAACTTTAAACCTTTTGGAAACAAACATTTTGACCTAAACATGCAAAACTGGAGACATAAATTAGCCCCACTTGTGGCCCCGACTAACACTGAGATGTTAAAATTTGATGGGAAAGTGAATATTTCATGACTTTACACTATCAGCAGAGACAAACTCTGCTGCAATAATGACTTAAAGTTTCTAGACAGACTTTTCTGAAACATGAATCTGCTGTGCTAATGTAAAACATTATTGCCATATCTTTATTTTCTGTAGATGTGACATGTATCTGATGACCCCACAAATAGCACAGAGCTTATGAGAGTACTAATTGTGCTGGTGATTTTTTCCCCCCCCATATATGTTTTCATTCAATTAATTTTAAACATGTTTACTTGCATTTTCTTCTAAATGTCGTAAATAGTTTTGCATGGATTCTGGAAAATTGTGCAAAAATATAACACATGGAAGCAGTTTATGAAGAAGACCGGACAGACATTAGAACTGCTTCCCATTACTTCCTATCCAAAATAACCACTAGGCAGAAAGATTGTATGAGCACAACACTAGCAGTAAGTCCCACCCTGCATGCACCTGCAGCACAACTTATAGATTCACCATCACGCTGGCAGACATCAGAGGGAGGAAGCAAGAAAATGTGTCAGTGCTCTTCTACCTTACCTATCTGGTGAATCATGTATCTATTGAAGGTCATGGAGGGTTAGGGTTAGGGTTAGGGTTAATAAAATATAACATTTACTAATTTTACAAGAATGCACAGAAACAAATAAAATGGAGAAAATCAAACTGGAATGTAACATATTCCATAATCATTTTTCTTTAGCTGACCCCTTTGCAGCTCCAGTTAAGCTTGAAGGCTTCTGATTTATTGCCAAAATTTCAAGAAATTGTTCTCAAGAAATATTGATGGGCCTGCTCATTATGCCTCTTGTGAGCTCACTGACCTGAATACATACAAACCAGAATTAACATATTTTTCCCTTTAGTGTGGTAGTGTATGTATGGAGAGACATTTCAGCCAAAATTAAATAAATAAATAAATAAATAAATAAATAAATAAATAAAGAAATAAATTTCTTCATTTTCCCATTTTCATTTATTTATTTTTCATTTATCCTTTACTATTTATCTCTTTTTCATTTCTCTCTTTTTCATTTATCCTATTTTCATGAATCCTTTTCCAATTTTCCATTTCCATTTATTCTTTTTAAATTTTATATTTTCATTAATTCTTTTTCTTTTATTCTGTGTGAAGCTGAGGTTGTTGGAAATGTGTAAATGTGCTATTTAAATAGACTTTGACTTGACTTGGGGAAAAAAAACAAAAAACCCCAAAAAGACACAAAAGCATTTTGTGATTTCTGGCATTTATCAATCCATGTTAGTGAAAATATACAACAGAAAAACCTTCTGAAAGCGCTTCATCAAAAACTTCTAAAATGTGTAGTAAAAAGCAGATGAGGTGTTCAAACTGAGAGGCATTACTCTTTCATTTTCTCTTGTCTGCCC